AGCACCAATACTGGCGTTGCCGGGCCCCGATCGTCCCTTTAGTGTCGGCTGTGACGCTTTGAACTTTGTCATCGGCTGTGCACTGCTGCAAGCAGACGCGGAAGGGCGAGATGGGGCGATCGCATTCGCAGCTTAAGGCTGCAGAGAGGAACTCCCTAGTTCACGAAAAGAAATAACTTGCGATGAAGTATGCATTTGTCAAGTTCAGAATGCACTTGCTTGGCTCAAAGACGTTTTTTTATCTACAAACATCATGCATCATTACGCACTATGACTACCTCTCGCAGAGGATGACCAGGTGCCTCTCATTCTTTGTATAATATAACTTCGAGGTGAAGTATAAGTCAGGAAATCAGAATGCTTTGGCTGATGCATTGTCACGCAGACCGGATTATGAAGTTGCTCATATCACGACGGTGACATCGTCAGCAACGGATTTGATCGCGCCGCATACGCGGGTGATGGTATGTGCGTAGCGCTGCGACGGACTCTCGGGAGCAAGGAGTTAGAAACTTGGACAAGAAGCTGTCTTCGCGACTGCGTGCACGGTTGCACCGATATTAATCGAATAATGGATTGCTGTATAATAGCACCGACTCTATGGATACGCCACGAATTCTGGGTAGGATTTGAAGTATCGTATACTTTATGAGGCCCACGATACCCCACTCAGTGATCTTCTTGGTCGGAAGAAGACGTACAGCTCTGTAAATTGCCACTACTGGTGGCCCAAGCTGTACAAAGGTACGAGCACCTATATGTGCACGTGTGAGACGTGTCAAAGGGTGAAACCCTCTCCGAATGCGGCGGCGCCGCTGGCCAGTTAGCCGATACCCTCCGGGTGTTGGCAGTCCATGAATATGGACTTTGTGTTTGGCTTGCCGAAGGACTCGGCGAACAATACGGGCGTGGTGGTCTTTGTGGACCGTTTGAGCAAAATGCTTATCATGCGGCAGTGCCGGGCACCATCATCGGTACAGCGACGCTGTTTGTGGATCGTGTCTCACGACAACATGGATTCATGGAGTCAATTGTCTCTGAAAGAACCCCCACGCTTCACTGTGAAGTTTTGATCTACAATCTTCAGGGTGCTGGGCACCAAGTTGTCTATGTCCATTGCAGACCATCCGCGGATCGATGGTAAAACTGGGCGCGTGAATCGCGTCGCTGAAGATGCCCTTCGCAGCATCTGCGCTGAGATGCCGAAGCGCTGGAGCGCCATGCTACCACTTGTAGAGTTCGCTCCGAACAATGCAGTGTATGCATCTATCGGCTACACGCCGTTCTTCTGATCGTGGTTCGTTAATCTTCGCGTCCCGCTGACGCCGCCACCCGTGGCTTAGGGCTTGGTGGGGGAGGAAAAGCCGAGCGGCTACCGGATGATAGCCCCCTCACTGCGTTTAAAGAAGTCGATGACTTCCTGTCTACAAAAGACTGAGTTTCGTACGACAGCTTCGCGATGCGAGGACTGAAAGCCAAGACATGCAGAAGGAATATGCAGACGGAAGCGGTAGAGGAATTGTTAGAAATTTTGAGGCTGGAGTCCTGCCTTTATTAAATGCTAAAAACCTTCCTACACTTGCGATATCTGCTGTCTCTAGACGAAGCTCCGTCCACGGTTTTTCGGAATGTTCAAGGTCATGACCAAGTGGGGTCTTGCGTATACGCTAAGCCTTACAAAACGGATGCGCACCCATCCGGTGCTTTATGTGGGCTTGCTTATGCCGTACCGGGATCCGGCGCAAGTGACCACCCAAAAGCCGGACCAGCGACTGGTTTTGAGCACATATTGCAACTACCTCCATCTCCAACGGCACCAAGCGCTTCACCTTCGCATGAAGCGACTAGGAGCCGCTCCGATAGAGCACGATAGTCCTCAACGTGAGGTCCTGCTGCACAGCGTGCTCCAAGCTCTCGAGGTCTTCCGCGCAGCGGCATTCGACCCTGGCATGACGCTCAGCGGAGTCTTGATCGCGACAAAATGCATCGCAAGTCACCAGACGGCGATCGACCAGTCGTCATCGTCCGCCGACTCTTCTCGACAAGAATGGTGGTGTCCACTATCACGTGAAATGTCTTGTGGGTCGACGTCGTCGTCAGGATCAAGCCCAGTATTTTGTGAAGTGGGGTGATAGACATTGAGAACGCGTGGGAGTTTGAAGTGCCACTTCTGGAATACTACCCAGACGTCGTGAATGCTTATGATCAGAGGGATCACGACGTTCCGCGTCGTCGTACGCCCCACACTTCTCTGCAATAACAGGGAAGCCGAAGGACCATGATCTGAGCACAATCTGTGGCCCTGAGCCGCTGCGGTCGCAAACTCAGACCACAGAGCTCACGGGAGCGCGATGGATCAGCCCATATGTCGTGGGGCGATAATCCGTAGGAAGTTGGCGACGCACCTTGAATTTGGCAAAATCAAATCAAAGATGGCGTTTCACGCGCACGTCTACCTCCTTGTGGTAAAACTGTAAGCTGTACAGCGAGGCAAGTTTCCGGTACCACTGCACTTATCGCTCAAAGAGCTCTTCGTTATCTGCAGCGTTTTCGTCAGGGTGGGCACTTCAGGAATCGTCCGCATCGCGGGTACAGGAGCGCTTTCTCTTTCAGTACGAAGTCGAGTGCGGTACATATCCACCACAATTTCTTGAGAAACCGAGAAGCGATTTCGAAGAGCTTTTTGTTCGTCAAGATCATCTTGTGTAGTGACCGGGGTCTGATCACGTAGACGCCTAGCGATCGAGTGATCGCGGCCTTCGCTTCTGTAGCGGGATCGGCCGAGCGGAAGCCGTATCCACACGAGGGTCAAGAACCGACCGTGAATGCGCACGCATGAGAGCCGCCCTGCGGACAGTATCCAGCCGCTGCTTCTGTGTTTCGTCGCCGTCATTGGTAATGACACCACTTCCCCCGAAAGTCAGGAGTTCAGTAAAAGGACACGGAGTCAGCAAGGTTCAACAAGGGCTCACGTCACGCCGCTGAGGAACATTGTCCTCTTCTTCTCTATCCTGAAAAGGAGTATCCGACTTCCTCCAATTTCTCGACGAGGTAATTTATCGCCCGCGGCGGCCGCGGTGTGCGGTCGGGAGTAGACATAGCGTCTGCGTTCTTGGTCGTGCGACCCTGTCGCTGACAATGCACTGCACGGTACTCGATTTTTGGGAGCTTGGGCTGCGCTATCCTTAAAGCCGCGGACGTGCTGTCGTCCGAAGTTGCACCGCGTGCAGGAAACGAAGAAAGGCTCTGACCGCGGGCGTCCTCGGAAACTGCGAGGCTGGGTGGCTTCCGTGTCGTCGACACATGGCTCATTGGGCAAAAAAATCTGAAAATGTTGTTGTGGTGTCTTAGACACGCGAGCCTCGTTCGAGGCGACTGTTGAATGTGAGCTGTAGGTGCTCACAATCTTGATGGGGGGAGTGTCACGGGGTTTCACGTGCAGGGTGTGGGTCACAAAAAAAGATGGGATCACACAATGATGTGACGCAACTTAAACGAGAAGTCAGTACGTGGCTAAAACAGCCAGTAATTATACATTTAATTAGGTTTTACTGTATAGATAGGAAAACCTGTAGATTTAGATATAGGCGGCTTTGCCGCAAATAAATTCGAGAGATAGAGTTCACGTTTCGAACGGAAGAGTTAATTTGCCTCGGAACAAGGGTGTAATTAATTTTGGAGATTTAAGCTAACGGGACCCACACGCTAGGAATAAGCTTTCTCTAGCGCGGGATGCTGATAGCTAACCGACCAATTTTGAGACCGGATTCTGTACCCCTCATTACACTATGGAGTTTTATGGGCAGCGAGGCCTCCTCTCTCCCAACTATCATACACCCATTTAAGTGCGGGTTGGCAGGACGGTCACACTACAGGGGTGTGATTGCTCGTCCACTTTAGTTATATATCTCCGGCCTCCTTGATTCGGATCTTACGGGTATCGAACCAGGTACCTCCCGGTCCCAGACCAAGCTACACAACACTTGAGCCAGGGATCACTTTGAAATTACACGTGGAGTAAGTGAGTTGCGATCCGCTACACTCATACTGGTTACAAGTATAGAACGAAGGTCACCGACCTTAATCAAGCTTCCTCTCAGCAAAAGATCTGCGGCAGCCCTGCAGGGCTGCTGGTGCTGCACTGAATGTGGAGTACAATTTCCGCGCCGCGATAAGATGCCGACAATTGTACGAATTTTTCTGCTGCGAAAGCGTAAATTCTTTCCTCGAAAGAGCGAAGCATCGGTATCTATGACGATAATTGGACTTCACAACGAAAAGGTCTCGGTATACGTGGGCGCTAAACGTATGCCAAGTGAAAAAGGAATAGATACTACCTGAAATGGAGTAAATCGTTTTTATTTAGCACTCATTCATATAAATTTCATTGAATATCGACTCTATATCATTGAAAATGTCACTCCGCAAATTGCATAGCAAGCAGGCTCTCGGTTCTGCTCCAGGGTTGAGCGTAAGGAAGGTCGCCTTTCTGCGCTTTTGTTAACACTGACCCTTTGAGTCGAAGCTTTCTCTGAGCAATGCGCACGGCAACCCTGTTGCACTATCCGTCACTCGACTTATGACAGCCTGGTCAGCCTGCCTTGCCTATGAACAGCCAACTGCTTTCCTGAATCCCCCTCACATTCTCTGTCCGCTTTCAGTGCATCTCCATCGCGCTCAGACTGAACGACTTCATGCGCTAGTAGAGTCGGAACCGATTATAACTTTGTGTCATGATTAAAAACATACAATACATTCGCCATCTTGCAAAAATGCATCACATTCTTCTATTCGCCGACCGCCGCTATTCATTTGCCACCGTATGCAATTGACGCCGAATTCTTGATAATACACGTTCATTCATGTAGTGCTTCATGTGATTTCTCGTGATACTATCACGCAGCTATATGAAATCCCCCAAAGGAGTACAGCAATTATACTCGTTTTGCGTTCGATTGCTTTGGACCTTTCAGTGTGGCGAAAAGTATCACATTTTGAGCAGATCCTAAGTACCTCTGCAGAAGAAAATGTGTAAATGTTGACATCAACGAGCATCACCAATGTCAACGGCCATACCGACCACCTAGCTTACTCCTTCTCTCCGCGCTTTTGGTCATCCCAAATTCACCGTGCAGCATCTTCTTTTTCTCTCACAGCATGACCTTTTCATTCACCACAACAATGCGGACTATCGCATCGTACTTTGGGTCAAGATTTGGAGAGAAAAGACTAATTTCTTGTCCTCTAATACGAGCCCCCCGTTCAGCAGCCAATGACATCCAATTTGCACGATTTGGTCGATCAACCCCCTAGTTTCCAGCAAAAACATGTGAAGCTCTTTCCTCGACTGCACGCGTTTGTGAAGCGATTGCTTCACGATCACAAAACAGAGCTTTTTCTACGCCTCCGATACAGACTTGGAATCAAGTATACAGTGCTCAACATTTGCGCCACTAAAGGCCTTTATGCCGGCGGCCAATCATGGCGTGCTGTGTCTTCTGCCTTCATAGCGGCAAAGTCCCACTTTGGCCGGGCATTTAGCCCCCTCATGAAGTAGTTCTTATCATACAGATATCGTTTGGCTTCAAAGCGTTTGAGCTCATAACGTCATAACATCATATTTGGTGACTATAGCGCAGAGTGACTGCTTAAGTTTTCAAGTCTCGTATAATCTGTTTACGTGGCGAGCTATCGGCACATTCTAGGACCACTGTAAAGCTTCTATGATGATTAGTCTGATGTGTCAAAATACCACAAGACAGGATACGTGAACAATGAATTCAATATAATAATTATTGATAACGCCCGAAATCCAAAATTTGTATTTCGTATCGCAAATATTAGTCAACAAAATAACTATATGCAAGGCGTCGATGACCAACCTGCGGTGGCATCTTTCCCACTGCCTGCGTCTCCCGCGCGCAACTCGACGGGCTACAACAACATTTCAATAGATTCCGAACACTCGGATGCAAATTATTGCGTTCCAGAAGACGCACTCGACTTTCCGTTAGTGCAATGGGAGAATAGCAGTACTCCTACCAGTCATTCTGACATATCATGCACTTCATCCTCCCTCGTTCCTTTTCAAAAACTCCAGCTTGATACAAATCTAAATGACACGACACTTCCGTACCCACGCTCTCGAACAAGCTCAATGGGCTCACTTGGCTCGTCTTGCAATGGATCCGAAAGCCCTGGACGTCGAAAGCCTCCGACGCCCACGCAGCAATTAGCCTCAGGCTTTTTAGGAATGGAGACCGAATCGACGTCACAATTGTCACAAGAATTTATGAATGCATTGAGACTTCAAGATTTCACACACGAGAAAGAACCACAATTGTCAGTTCGACTTCGAGGTAGTCGAGTGGAATTGGCTTCAGCTTCTGAAAAGCATCATGTGGATTTTTTAGGACCTGCTGAAAATATCAAGAGATTGTTTAAATTACCATACTCGCAATCAAGAGTATCACTGGCTGTACATCGCGTTGGAAGCACATTGGTCGTTGATGGAGAATTAAATGAGAGTGACTTACCCATAGGATTTGAACATCTTCAACAAGATACAGTGCAATTAGCTCAGCAAACAGAAGAGATGACACAGACATTACTGTATGAAAAGTTTATCTATGAAAGCACAGTAACTCCATTACCACCAAGTGAGACGGCGACGATCAAGAGAAAAGAAGAGAAAGAAAGAATTGGTGGCAATGTTACTTTGACTAAAAAACATAAGAAGTCAAGAAGAAGCAAGAAAGGGAAGCGAAAGGTTGCAAGTTTAAAATCACAAAGTGAGCAATCGGAACTGTTGCCGGCAGACGAAATAAAGAAAGATCAAGGAAGTGATACGCAAAAGTTTGGATCATCAAGCTCACAGAATGCAAGTTCACCTTCATTCATCCCCACTGAAACAAACTGGTTCACATCAGCTCAACACACTCCGTCGTTTAATAACGACTCACAAACATTCCAGCGAATTTTGAGATGGAAGTTTAACGATTTGAAAATGGTACAATTTCTATACCTTCGTTTATCATATCAGCTCAATTAACTAATGTCACTACTTGTTTTCGTTATCTTGCAACAGATTCTTGGCAGTCAAGTTCTTTTATTTAGTAACCAAGAGCATCCAGCAGTTTCGTTGAAACTTCACGATATGGACAATGAGCTTTCTTTATGTACTCTGCTCGACTACTACTTGGACAATGTCATTGCAAATATTCCAGAGCTTGCAATTTGCATGCATTCAAAGGGACTTGTTCGAGGTTACAAGCTTGTGGAAACGGGAAAGATTCCGTATATGTCTGGTACTGGTCGACCTTTATTCGATGTCCAAGATGTGAGCTTAAATGCATCAATGCTGCTTAAATTTCTACAAGAAAATTGCTCAAGACCAAATGGTACGTACTGGCTTCATCGGAAGGAAGGAGAAAGCTCTTTGCGTCTGTATGATGTGGATATGTTATCCCAGGGAAGCCAGCTCAAGTGGAAATACATGATGGCAATGTTATGTTATCGATTTGCAGCTCGAGCTTCGAGACTCATTAATTCATTAGCGGCAGGAACACCGCAATTACAGCAACAACTTCATCAGCGACAGCGAGAATTGTTACGAACATGTATGAGTTTGCTGGGTGAAATAGCCGAAAAGGGTGGAACGGCACATAGCTCAATATGTTCCTCAGTAAGTGAACAACTTGCAGATACTTATCTTCGTGAGTGCAGTCAATTTCATCCATTGACTGCGACAGACTCGGTCGCTGCAGACTGGGAGGCAGCAATTAATTCACTCAAAATGGCTAAAGAGTATCTCCACGCAAGTATCAAATTGTTGGAAGAGTGTATATCACAAGATAGTATCTCCATCTTAACGCACAGTGAGAGTTGTTTATATGATGACACTGTGGTTGATGGAGATAGCGAGCTTGCGGAAGACGACGGAGAAGGTGAAGTAGGAGATTTCATGCATGAAGAATTAGACCGCCTTCGGCTAAAATTTAGCTCTGCTTGTCTTGAGTTGGGGCAGCTTCATGTTGGCAGTCGAAAGTGGTTGGAAGCAGTGGATAATATCGTAGAGGCAAGTCAATTTATAACTTTAAGCTCAATTCCAGAAGGCATTCAGCCACTTGACTTGGCTTCGCCAGACCAGGAGGGTATGGTGAATTCTTTGCTTGACAAACTGGATTTCGATGGAGTGAGGCGTGGAGGGTCATCTCGAAACACAGTGCCGTTTTGCAAATCAAGTAGTGAGTTGCGAGGCTCGTTACTAAATTTAATCGGTGACATGGCTGCTCAAAGACCTGTGGATGTTTATCAAGAGCTAAATGTTCTTCATGAGATTATTTCTGGTGTTAAACGAAATCGTTTTTTCGATTTGTGTAATTCCACGCAGGACTTTTTGAAACTCGTTGAAAACGAAGAGATGTCTTCTGACAGCAAAACAGTTTCGGAAAAAGAAGAAGCTCTTATGGTGTTGTCGTTTTTCTCATACCTACGTGCGTTGTCACCACCAGTAGACTCGGAGCTGTATTTGTACGTACTTTTTTGTTCAAATGTGTGTTTTAGCTATTGCGGTATCATGACAGCACTTTGATGTAATTTGTTGTCTAGTTCGATGATGAAAAAGCTTGGTAATGCAAGTAATGAGCTCGGGAAATATCATTTAGCGATGAAACAAAACTACATGGAAGCATTTAGATGGTTTGAACGTGGCTGCAAGATCTTCAGCAACATTGAAGGTACATCTCTTATTGCTCTTCCGATCTTGTGTTGTATCCTAACTACTACGTACGATACGTCAGATGGAGTCAATGTGGCATTACTTCGAGCTAATCTTGCGCATCTTCACAAAATTTTTGCCCAAGATAAACCGACTCATTTGCGAGAAGATCATTATTGTACGGCCATTCAGCTATGCACTGATGCTTTGCAGCTTTTAAAGCAAAGCAAAGCGGATGGAAATCTCTGCAAAAATGTTAAAGGTGAACTTGCATTGACCTATTTGGTGTGGGCAGTACATCTGGCAAATTGTACGTTTACTGGAATGAGCAATGGACTCACATCAACACCAAAGCGTGAAAACGAAACGCTTACACTCTTCAATCAAGCACTTTCATTGTATTCTGAGCTTGGCGATCAAAAGCAAATCGCATCGACTCACTACCAGATTGCCTCCTTTTATAGCCGCATCATCACATCCACGTTGCGCGATGAGAGTGAAAGTCCAAGTTGTGAGAAATCGGATGGTCCGTCGTCATCGATGGCGAATCGCATGGAAATTGCTAGACGGCATTACGAAAAGGCTCTGAGTTACTTCGGGTCCGTGGAGGTAGGGAAAATATTTGTACTAATTCATCAAGAGTTGGCGGATTTGTATCTCCTTGGTGGACGCGTCGAAGGTATCGAGCACGCTTTATTGATCTTGCTAAGCACGTACGAAGCATTTAATCGTACTCAATTTCGAAATTTGACAAGTGAGAAGGAGGAAATGGCTTCATTGGCTTGTGATATTGTGGAAAAAGTTAAGTGTGTATTGCATCAATTGATTCGATTGAGTACAAGTGGACGTACCAACGGTGAAACAAAGAGCAAAAAGCTCGAGATGTTCAAAAAGATGTACAAGGAGGTGATTTATTACGATGGAATTAGTGCAGAAAGTATTCTTCCAATTCTAGATACCTTGCGTGGGTTGTATACGGTGTGATGATACGCTCAGGACCTGATTCTTGCATGATCTTGTCAAGAGAATTTATATTGAGAGATAGAAACAATTTGAATCTTGAAAATTAAATTTACACTGACGTCTCTTAAGTGTGGCTACACCTTAACAAGAAGCCTCTACGTGGCATGATTGCCAGTAGTCATGCATATGAATCAGGAAATCTTAGTGTTTTGGATATTGGTGGCTCTAAAGCAACTAAAACAATTAAATACAGTGTCAATTTTGAATGCCATTTCGGGCGCTGTCAATAATTTTTATATTATAATCATTATTTTTATACGGGGTACACGTACCCTTGTATGAAAGAGTGGACCACACAAGCGTTAGAAGATGTGGATTACCCAAGTCGGTGTAATCACACAATGATGTGGCTATGGCAGGATTCCCAGTAGTTCTGCAAATTCATGAGGTTTTACTATTTGATTAGGAAATCCTAAGGTTTTAGATATAAGCCGCTCTACCACGAATAAAAAAATTAAAATACAGTTTCAATTTTGAACGGAAGAGCGTCTTTGGCTTGGTTGATGGTCTTAGTACTCTTGGAGGTAGCAAATTGCGCACTCGTACTGGTTCATGTATAAAGCGTGAGGTCGGTGACCTTAGTTTAGCTTCCTCTAAGCAAAGAATTACGGCAGCCCCGCTGCACTCGGTAGCGCTCGTAGTCAATCTACGCCTGAGTCGTTACGACTGATCCTCTGCGAAGATGGAGCAATACTCCAATTTGCCCCAGGGCATGCAGGGCGGGCTTTATAACCTACTGGGCCCTGAGGGCGTGGAATAGCTTGTTTCGCAAGGGCTCGAAGCGATAAACGCGCGAATAGAGGCGTTTTCAAGCTATGACAATGCGGTGAGATAGCGGCTACATTCTAATTTTGTAAGCATTCACAGCTCACCAACGGTCATAAGACTCTTGGACCTAAAAAAAAGCTAACGCCAAGTGGGTCGAAATACTGTGTCACTTCAAAAACATTTTGTAACGGGGTTTCACGTGCCCTGGTTGGAAGGGTGTGGGTCACACAAAATGGCGTGGTCCCATAATGCTGTGGGTTACACATTATGATGAGACCACACATTGATTTGGCTACACTTAAACAACAGAGCGCTATCGTCTACGGTAGACACATCGTGGGTCAGAGCCGACGCCCGGCTCCTTGCAGATAACATACGGCGGCGCCGTCGCCTCTCCACAGAGGCTGTACGTCTCGGCGAGGCCTGTGGGAATACGCACTCAGCATCGTCTAGTGTTAGCCTATTCTCCTGCTCCACCGGAGCCTTGATGTTATCAACAACATCCGCCGAAGAGCTGCTAGTTCCGCAGTCATCGTCCAGTGGGTAACGTGCCACTCCACGCGCATCTAAAGGGACTTGCCCAGGATTCCTCAGATCTCATCCGACCATGCCACTCGTGGCATGCAGCGACTGCTTCGAGACGTGAGCAGTGGTCAGTGGATTACGTGCCACTCCACGGCATCAGTGGAGTCTCGCCCTCGATGCCTCGGCCCTTGGCCGACCATGCCTCGCATGGACTGATTGATACTTGAGCAGCGCTCAGTAGGTTATGTGCCACTCCAAATTTGGCCCGCGATCAATGCTCGGGCTATTTGTCCGATACATTTTTAGTGTTCGACAACTCGGATAATCCAATCTTTAGCACATTGACCGTCACGGTCCAGAGCCGGCGCCATTAGTGTTTTTGCCTCCTAGCAGTGATGAGTTTATTACTCATCAAAGCTCCACCAATAGAGTGCGTGTAGCGCCTAAGGTCTTCGACCTCCACTCCTTCCATGGCTCATGGTTTTCCAACCATGCCATACTCATATCTTAATTCCAAGTCTAAGACTAAGCAGCGTTCCACGCTGCCGAAGTCAAGAAACTTGACACCGAGGTCCACAGAAACCCTCAGCACAGTGACAAAAGTCCCCGTCGCTAAGCGAACAGTGAAGGTGTCACTTAACCGCGCTTTTAGCGCCTCAGCATACAGCTGACTTCCTTCGGTCGTGGAGCGTCGATCATGATTATCGGCATGCATACACGTTTCGTCTTCAAGAGCACTGAGCTCTTTGGGGCGGAGTCCAGTTGCCCTCTACCTCTTTGCGGCACAACAAGACTCAATTCTTCCCCAGCAGGGCGCCCCTTGCCTACTGGGTTTTCTTGTTTAACCGCGATAAATCTGACTGGTTAAAAGCAGGACATCGCTTCGAAGGACGTTGACGCGCCTTGTGCAAAGAACAACCAGTTCGAAGGTGATAGGACAAAACATCGTCAGGTGTTTGGACGCTGCTCAGCAGCTCGGAGCTTTTCCTTCTCTATCTCAGCATAGCTAACATCCATTGGATCAGGCCCGCTTGACGAGCACTGAGGGTGTGCATTCCAACCAAGTCGTGCTGACTTGATGTTGAATTCGGCAATCAATGCCACATTTACCACTTTTTTAAAAGAAGACTGATGCACGCTGAAGACTTCCATTCTTATTGCGGAGGCCCCCATAACGACGGTCACTGCTACCGTCCCGGGGAGAGGATCAGCTGCCATGAGAATTCTTAACTCCTGGACAAAGTCCACCAACTCCTTCTTGCCCTGTCGGACGGCAAGCTGTCGCTTTAGCTCCTCCCTGGAGGGGAACACCGCTTCAACCAAAGCACTGTACGTTAGTGCCCATTCTATCGCTTGACCCCCGAGCTTAGAGATAGCTAGCGCCATGCGCTGGTGCTCATTCTGGGGCATTGCGGATGCCATAACCATCTCGGCCTCTCTCATTCAAAGCAGGAGATTCTCTTCATCCTTACCCTCTAAGGTGCTATGAGCGGTCTGTATGACGGGGGAGGAAGACAGCGACGTCATCCTCGAGGCTATGCCAGCTGTGGATGCTATTTTTGAGTCACGTAGAAAAGAAGGTACTAAAGAAATGATCCTGTATAATGTACGGTCTTGGGTGCTATTTTTGAGCTGGACGAGATGTCCTACGAAGGGTTCGGCGTTGTCTTGAAGGCAGGCGACTTAGCTGAAGTGGTCATTATACCACCAAAAGTGGAAATCAACTCGTCGTCGCATCTGGATGAAGCTGTCCTGGAGGACACCAACAGGGTGCTGAACACACGAAGTGGATCTTTGATCCTGAAGAACCCCTCGAATCCGTACGATTCTTTGGTAAAGGAATTTCAAGATGTCACCCGCTGTCGGTCCTAGCTCAGGAAAGAGGTGTCTGTCATATGATCGACCTGGTTCCGGGAACCAAATACTGTGTAGCACGCCAATGACCCCTGCCCAAGACGTCATTGACGCCATCTGTCAATGCTGTCAATGCAGAAATGGTGCGTGAGAGCAAGGGACAACCGGAAGCCAATTGGCAAGTGGCGTATCGTTCACGCTAACAGGACATCAACGCTGCCACCATTCCGGCACAGACGCCGATTCCTAGAAAGGGTGTTCTCCTGAACAACATGGTTGGATGTACAAAGTGACAGTGCACTCGACTTGGTCGATCAGTATCACCAATTGTTGATGAGAGCGACTGATATTCCACTGACAGCAGTGAGTTTATCCGAGCGGGATGTTCTGGGAGTGGCTGGTGATGCCCCGAGGGCTGTCCAATGCACCAGCAACATTGAATCGTTTTTGTGACTTAGTTATGTAGGCCCCACCGGGCATATACACAAACATACTTTGACGACATCTTCGTCCACAGTCGTGCGGTACACGGGAAACCAGAGGAGAAAAATTCTTTTTGTTTCTTTGGAACCGGCTAGTCTATAATGACCTTGACCTTGACCTTAGCGGGGCAACGCTTCCCAATGAAGCACCTTAAAATGTGTAATTTTTGGCGCTGAAGATGTACTTGTCTGCATCAGTGTACAGCTCATTCGTGTGCATGCACTCGAGCACCGCTCTCAAATAGACTATGTGACTTACGCAAGTGGCTTGGCCTCACCAACTACTTGCACAAGTCCAGCGAGAACTACGCAGAGCTGGCACGGCCATTTTCGAATCTCCTTAAGAAAAATGTGGAATAATATTGGGGCACCGAGCATCGGGAGGCTTTTGACGGGTCAGCGATAGCCTCCCTCATGGCGTTGCCAGCCCCGATCGTCCTTTTGGTGTCGTCTTTGACGCTTCAGACTTTGCCATCGGCTGTGCACTGCACGCCGAGGGGCGAGATCGGGTGATCGCGTTCGAATCTCGCCAACTTCAGGCTGCGAAGAGGATCTACCCAGTCCAGGACAAGGACTGAAGTATGCGTTTGTCAATTTTAGGTGCACCTGCTCGAGGCCAAGCCCTTTGTGATATACACAGAACCCTGCATCACTACGCACTGCAACTCAGTCGCCTCATCTCTTGCAGAGGATGGCCAGCTGGCACTGCTTCTTTGCAGAAAAAAACTTCGAGGTGAATAATAAAGTAGAAAGGCAGAATGCTTTGGCTGATGAAATGTCACGCAGACCGGATTATGAGCTTGCTCATGGCGCCGCATAAGCGGGGTATGATATGCGCGTAGTGCTGCTACGGCATCTCGGGAGCAAGGGAAACCCGGAAGAGAAGTTGTCGTCGCGACTGCGCGGTCGGTTGCACCGATATTCGATGAATAATGGATTGCTATATTATAGCACCGACTCGACGGATACGCCACGATTTGTGGTTCATCATGATGAGATTTTGAAATACCTTTTTTTTTGTGAGGTCCACGACACCCCACTCAGTGGTCATCTCGGTCGTGATTAAACTATAGCTCTGTGAGTTGCCACAACTGGTCGTCCATGCTGTATAAATCAGCGAGCGCCTATGTGCGCACATATGAAACGTGTCAAAGGGCGAAACCCTCTCCAAATGTGGCGCCGCCTCTGGCCTGTTTGCCGGTACCCTCCGGGTGTGGGCAGCCCATCAGTATGGACTTAGTTTTGATCCTGCTGAAGTACTCGGCGGGCAACATGGGTGTTGTGGTCTTTGCCGACCATTAGAGCAAGATGGCTCATCTTGCGGCGGTGCAGAACACAATCGACGGTGTCTGTACAGCGACGCTGTTTGTGGATCGTGTCTTTCGACAACATGGACTCCCAGGGTCACTTTTCTTTGACAGAGACCCACGCTTCACTGGGAAGTTTTGGTCGACGATCTTCAAGGTGCTCGACACCAAGTTGAATATGACAATACCGGACGATCCGCATACCGATGGGCAAATGAGCGCGTGAATCGCGTCGTTGAAGACGTCTTGCGCAGCGTCTGCGCTGAGACGCTGAGGCGCTGAGGCGCTGGAGCGCCATGCTGCCACTTTTAGGGTTTGCTCTGAACAATGCAGAGCATGCGTATACCACTCAGCGGAGAACTGATCGCGATGAAAATTTTGTCCTAATGAGCTCGATGGGCATGGCGAATCACCGGATGGCGATCGACCAAGTCGTCATCGTCCGCCGCCGACTTTTCTTGAAGGGAACGGTGGTGTATACTGTCACGTGGAACGTCTTGTGGGTCGACGTCGTGGACAGGGTCAAACTCAGTATCTTGTAAAGTGGCGGGGATACTCAGACTTCGAGAAATCGTGGGAGTTTGAGGTGCCACTTTATCCAGAGAGGCCGAAGGACCATGAGCTGGACTCACGCTATGACCATGAGCTGCTGTGGCCGCAGACGTTCCCGTGTGAGACCACAGAGCTCGCGGGAGCGTGATGGATTAATTTATCCGTCGTAGGGCGACAATACGAAGAGATCGGCGTTGCACCTTGATTTTAGCAAACTTGAACAGCAGATGACGTTTCACGCGCACGTCCGCCTCCTTGAGGTTCCGCTGTAAGCTGGATAGCGAGGAAAGTTGCCGGTGCCGCTGCACCCATCGCTCATAGAGCTCCATATCATCTACAGCGGTTTCGCCAGGGATGAGCACCACAGGAATGGTCCGCATTGCGGGTACAGGAGTGCCTCCACTTTGAGCGCGAAATCGAGCGGGTACATATTCATTGGGATTTCTTGAGGTACCAAGAGAGCTGAGTGCTTTTTGTTGGTCAACTCAGTTTGTCTAGTGGCGGAGGGGGGACTGACTACGTAGACGTCCAATGATCGAGTGATGAGTGATCGCGTCCTTCGCTTCAGTAGTGGGACCACCGAGCAGAAGCCGTATTCCACACAAGGTTCAGGATCGCTGCGAATGCACGCGCATAGACGCCCTGCAGGCAGCCTCCAGTTGCTGATCCTGTGCCTCATTGAGATGATTGGTAATGATACCACTTTCCCCGGAAGTCGAGAGGTCAGGAATCGGCACGGTGTTTGCAAGGATAGAGCTCGGCTCACGTTGCGCCGCCTGCGCAGCTCGCCTTCCTCTTCTTCCCATCCTGGGAA